CACCGTGACACCCCCCCCAAGAAAGACCCGGTCCTGAGCCCACAGAGCCGTGGCTGACGTGTGGGGGGAGCGCAGTGTGCGGCTCCCGGCCTGCCCGGGGGGGTGAGCAGCCCCCACGGCCCTCGGGGTGTGAGACCGACTGCTGGAAAAAAAGCAAATATTGCCATTTTGCTGACAGAGGGATTGATCACAATGAAATCGGAGCTGCTGTGGGTGGGTAAGAACTTTAATTGTGCTTTTAAACTGCCCACAGACCCTTTTCTCTCTCTCAGCCCTTTGAGAGAAGTGCTCATTCCCCCCCAACCCTCCCCAGCTCCATCCCACCCCGTGGAGCTGCGTTGCTGGGAGCTGTAGCGCAGGCTGGCGTGGAGCCTGTCTCGTTGCCACGAGCCCAAAATCCTTGCCAGGCTTCCTACCTTTGGCTGTGCCTCCTGCTCCGGCAGCGGGAGCGGAAGGCAGCGCGGCAAATCCGCCTTTTCCCGGGACCAGGAGGAGAGAGGGGGGAGAGCTGCCCTCCCTCTCCTGCTCTGCCCAGATGGAGCAGCCCAGGAGAGAGCAGCGGGGAAACCAAGGAGCAGCAGCTCTTCTTTCCCAGCGTTTTTTCCACTCTGAAAGACTCCGGGGCAGGGACCGTCTCGGGAGGGTACGGGGCCATTTGGATTTGCCCCAGACAGCTTGGACATTGCCAGCTCCAGGCCTCAAGACATTGCCTACAAGGGCCAGCAGACCCCACAGCATCACAGACTAACTGCAAAGGGAAGGGAGCTTTGGAGGTCCCCATCCCCTGCCCGAGCAGGGCAACCCACAGCCGGTTGCCCAGGACAATGTCCAGCTGCCTTTTGGGTATCTCCAAGGATGGAGGCTCCACAGCCTCCCTGGGCAGCCTGTGCCAGCCCTGGGTCGCCCTCCCTGTGAGAAGTGTTTCCTGACGGCCAGAGGGACCCTCCTGTGTTCCCACGGCCCCTGGTCCTGGCACTGGGCAGTGCTGAGAAGGGCTGGGCTCTGTCCTCTGTGCAGCCTCCCTTCAGGTGTCTATGCACACCGATTAGCTTCCCCCAGAGCCTTCTCTTCTCCGGGCTAAACAATCCCAGCCCTCCCGGTCTTTCCTTGCAGGAGAGACACTCCAATCCCTTCATCACCTTCACTGGATTCTCTCCAGTCCATGCCAGAGCTGAGCACAGCACTCCTGGTGTGGCCTCCCCACGCTGAGCGAAGGGGATGGATCCCCCGCTCCGGCCGGGTGACAACACCTTGTTTAGTGCAGCCCAGGACACCGTTCACCACCTTCGCTGCAAGGGCTGGCTGCTGGCCCACGTTCAACCTGCTGTCCACCAAGACCCCCAGCTCCTTTCCTGCAAAGCTGCTTTCCAGCTGGTGGTCCCCAGTGTGTACAGGGGTGCCCCTGGTGCTGGGGGTGTTCCTCCCCAGGGGCAGGACATGATGCTTCTCCTCCTTGAACTGCACAAGGTTCCTGCCGTTGTGTTTCTCCAGCCCGCTGAAGTTCCTCTGGGCGGCAGCACAACCATCTGGCACCTGAGCCACGCTCCTCCCAGTGTGGTGTCACCAGCATCTTGCTGGGGGTGCAATCTGCCCCACCATCCAGACCATTAATGAAGATGTGGAACAGGACTGGGCCCAGTATTGACCCCTGGGGTGCACTGCTGGTTGCCAGCGTCCAACTAGACTTTGACCCACTGATCACCACCTTCTAGCCCAGCCAGTTCCCAGCCCACCTCACTGGCTGCTCATCCAGCCCAGGAGCTTGTTGGCTCCTCTGTCAACTTGGGTCAGGAAGTTTTCATCAAAATTCTCCAGGAACCTCCTGGATGGCTTGTGTCCTGCTGTGTGTCCTTCAGCAGCTCTTGGGGTGGCCAAAGTCCTCCATGAGGACCACGGCCTGCAAACGTGAAGCTGCTCCTATCTGCAGAGCACCTCATCTGCTTGTTCTTCCTGGTCAGTGGCCTATAGAAGATACTCCCTACACTGTCACCCCTTCTGCTCTGCTCTTCAGTCCTCACCCACAAGCTCTCAGTCGGCTCCTCCCCCTCCCCAGAGCTCCGTGTCCTCCCGCTGCTCCCCCACACAAAGGGTGGCTCCCCCTCTTCATCTTCTCCTTGTCCTGACCCCTCTCTGCCTACCACTGTGCACGTGTCGGGGTTCTCTTTCCTGGCGTAGGATTGGGTGGACAAGTGGCCTGATGCGGTGTGAGAATGTCTGTGAGACAGATGAGCAGCGCTTTGCGCGGTTGGTTTCTGTGGTGGAGATGGCAGCTCCGTGGGGAAGCGGGCGAGCAGCAGGGAACAGCCCAGTGAGGGCTCACAGAGTCAGGTAAGGCATCAGGCAGGGACTTTTCCCCCTGAAAAGTGTGCTGCCAGTTCTCTTGGATAAACGGGATCAGCTGCAGCGGCTGAGAAACGGGATACGCTGTGCAGAGCCTGCGAATAGTGAATGAAAGTGCTGACGAGAGCTCTCTTACCAGCCCCGCTGGGCTCGCTCGGTTGAATTACACAAGGGTGTGCGCTGCCCCAAAAGCTTGTGTGACTCCTCCATCGATCCTAGTTCCTCTAATAAGAGATGGCCCCTGGCTGCCTCGGGGCTGTGGCCCCGCTGTCGCAGAGGGACCGGCAGCGAGTCCTCCCTCGGCAGCGAGTCCTCCCGTGTCTCCCTGCGGGGAGCTTGGCAAGGAGCCGGCTCCTGGAGCAGCAGGCCCTGCCCGGCCAGAGGCTCCGCGCTCCTGCAGCCTTCTGTGTCCTCTGCTTCGCTCCCCAGGTGCAGGTGTGGGACACAGCTGGCCAGGAGAGGTTTCGGAAGAGCATGGTCGAGCATTACTACCGCAACGTGCACGCCGTCGTCTTCGTGTACGACGTGACGAAGATGGCCTCCTTCACCAACCTCAAGATGTGGATCGAGGAGTGCAACGGGCACGCCGTGCCCCCCCTTGTCCCCAGGGTGCTCGTTGGCAACAAGTGTGACTTGAAAGACCTGATCCAGGTGCCATCCAGCATGGCCCTCAAGTTCGCCGACGCTCACAACATGCTTTTGTTTGAGACCTCGGCCAAGGACCCTCAGGAGAGCCAGAACGTGGACGCCATTTTCATGTGCCTGGCCTGCCGCCTCAAGGCCCAGCGCTCGCTGCTCTGCCGGGACCTGGAGGGGCGGCCGGGCCAGGCCCGCAGGCTGGACCCAACGCCCGACGCCAGCGGTAAAACCTCCTGCCCGTGCTGAGCGGGGCAGCCCCGGAGACCCCCCGGCTCCCGCCGCCCCTGTCCCGGTCACCCCAATAAAGTCTCTGCCTCCAGTCAGCTCTGGGTGGTGCTTTGCGCCGATCGGCCCCGTTCGGCCCCGCTCGTACGGTTTGCCTGCGCTCGGGTCGACTCGGTCTGTCGCAGCTCGGCTACTCTCGTCTAAATTCGACTGCGCCTGGGTCGACTCGGCTACACTCGGCCCGGTTCGGTCCGTCACAGCTCGGACACTCTCGTCTAGGTTCGGCCGCGCTCGGGCCGACTCGGCTACAATCGGGCTGTTTCGGCCGCGCTCGCTCTGGTTCCGTCCATCCCAGCTCGGCTACTCTCGGCTGGGTTCAGCTACGCTCGGGTCAACTCGGCTACAATCGGCTCGGCTCGGGTCGGTGGGGGGGGTGTGTGTGTGAACGGAGCGCAGCGCGCATGCGCAGTGCGCGGCGGCGCCGCCATGAAGTAGGTGTGAGGGGCGCGGGGGGGGGGTCGCCCTCAGTCCCCTGACGAAGGTGAAGCTGATCAATGAGCTGAACGCGCGGGAGGCGGAGCTGGGCGTGCAGGAGGCGGTCTCGTGGCACGCGGAGTACAAGGACAGCGCCTGGATCTTTGTCGGTACGGGCCGGGAGCGGAGCGGAGCAGGGCGGCGGGGCCGGGCCCGAGCCCGAGAAACGGGGCGGCGGGGCCG